GGGTTATAGCTATATAAAGGAGTAATCGGCTTAGTTAGAATTAAATAGCTCGTATTTAGTAAATAACTCTTTTACGGGTTAGCGGCTCTATCTCTAGGGCGTAGATAGCTAGTATTAAGGTACGTCGAGGTAGTAAATACTTTAATTACTAAATAAGCAAATCCTAGTTAGATTATAATAATTTTATAAATAAATAATAGTAACGAGATTACTATTAGCTAAATAGATATTAAGCTATTATGGTAATTATAAGCGTAATTTTAAAATAGGGTTTTAAAAAAGAACTAGATAAGGATAATAGAGCGTTATAAATATATAGACCTATTAAGCATAGTATAAAGATATTTTTAAAATTATAGTAGGCCTATTTTTATTTTTGTAAGACGTAATAGGTAGAACTAATATACTTCGGACGAATATAATGCTACTTAGTTAGTTTAGTTCGATAAGGTATTCCTAATATACTAATCGGAGGAGATCCTATACTTCCCGAACCTATAAATATACTATTTTATTTCGTAGCTAATATAAATAATAGATCGCGCTTTTCGCTTTCTTATTAGTTACTTCGCTTCTATGTCTATTTTGCTCCCCTCTAAGTTGGGCCTATATCCTTAGTACTAGTCTTAAAATTTATTTTTTTTATAGGTATTATACCCTGCTACGTATAACTAAATAGATATTATATTAAACTAGTAGAGGGCAGAGATAAGGATAGGAAAGTAGGATAAAAGTAATAATATATATTATTCTTAGTAATAACTATTTTAGAGGCTTTTATAGCGGATAAAATCGGCTATCGTTTTTTTTATAAGCATAGGGTAGACTCTCTTTTTTAAAAGATTAGTAACGTAAAGTAAATAATAAAAATACGAACTATATTAGCTTTAAATATTAGCTACGCTAAGTTATTAATAGAGCTATATTTATAGTATTTATATTTCCTTTTTAATATAATATAGATGTCTAATTAGTAATAGCGGCTTATTTTATTATATCGCTATATAAAGTTCTCTTTAGCTTTTTTAAAGTTTTTATTCGTTCTATCCCGCTTATTTCGCTTAATTAAATTAAGCTTAGAAGTATTTATAATAATATCGATACGGACTTAATAATATCTAACGGTATACTTATAGTATAATTATACTTCGTAGCTGGCTATTATTTATAAATAAACTAGATTTAAGTATTAAATTACTAAATCCTAAGATGGCGCTATTTATATTTTAGTTTTTAGCTTATTTATAAGTTATGGTTAAACTACTTTTTTATAAAGCGTATATACTTAGAATATTAACGTTTATATACTACGGACTTACGGACTACTTTTTTAAAGTATATAGCCTAGGTAGTTAGGGGCTAAGTAATTATATACTAAGGCTAGTAACTTGCTAGTTAACGTAGTGCGTACTCCTAGCGTTACTATTAGTAGGGGCTATGTTTAACTACCCTAACCGGTTTAAGCCTATAGGGCGTATTGCCGCTCTGCCTTATCTAATGCCTCTAATTCTCAAAGCGCCTAGGGAGGAAGTGCCCGCAGTCCGGGTTCTGCCTGCCTGCAGACCGTCTGCCATCCGCCCAACGGTGCAACGGAAGTCGAGAGCCGTTACCCTAACTCTTCCTTAGCCTCCTTTGCCAGACGATCAGGCTGTGAAACCCGAATACCAGGGGCGTTTCCAGCGATAGGAAACGCAGGCTCGCAAACACTTTCCAGTCACGGGCGGCAAAGTCAAGTACGTTGCTGCTAAGAGTTAGCTGCAATCAAGGCGGGTTGCTGGTAAGTGACGCCAAACCCCCAGAATTCACCGCCCGGTATCGGTAGGAGCCCAACGCCCTGGTGAGCTTACTGGTCGCCTGGATCGTCGCGACTGGTAGGGCAGTCAGAAACGGGACTTTCTAGCAGTAAGCCCGGCCGGCATGGGCGCTTGTGGCTCCCTTAGCTGAACGTTTCGGCAGCGCTTACCAGTCACGAGCGCCAAGTTCTAGCAGGTTACTGCTAAGACGCCGCTGTTTTCGGGTGGGCACTGGTGACTGACAAAAGCCCCCAGCAAGTTACTACCAGGTCCGGTATCTGACTACCATGTCAGACGATCCCACGCCCGACCGGATGGCTTCTCGTGATAAAATGTGACGGGGTCTCGCCTACGCATGCATGCACTGCTGCGGTCGAAGAAGATCGCCTGTGGAGGGTATTGCAATAGACGAATCTTCGTGCAGCCCACTGTTTTGCTTGAGTAGGCCTGGTGATCCTCTTGATACCGCTCGCGTGGGTCGTGAGGCAAATTTCTGACCCCTTGCCGTCGTCTGGCTGAGAAAAGCCCAGGTCTTCGTAATCGCAAAGAGTTTAAAACAGGCGTGCAAACCACGTCCGAAACATTCCCCGGCATTATGCGGTACTTTCCTTGAGTAAAAGGCTATGCGCATGGTAGCGGCCAAATTTGGAGTAATCGCGTGTACGTCCCCCCACGGCTCAATAATCGTCACCTGGTAGTCTCTGATGGGCTGGCCGTTAAGCACTGCACAACCAATCAATTCGGAGTACCGGTCCGAAATGCTCACCACTTGCGGTGTAGGATCAGTGCCTACATAACTGACCGTCCGACCCACAACCAGCAGGTCTCGGGCTGCAGCTTCTTTTCGTTTATACTGTACCTACCACTGCACCTTCGTCTGGACGACAGATGATTTTCATCGCTTTACTACTATCAGCATGATATTATCGCCTGCTTGTGCATTCCCGCGCGACGATGACGACGATAAGGCAGGCTGCCTGTCACTCTACGGCTATATTGATTTTGGGGAATAATAAAGACGCATGGTTGAATGTTGAGTTTACCTTTGTCCGCGAATCTATCTCTCGCCTAGAAACGAACAATGACTGCTTTGAAGCTTAGATGCGCCAGTTGCACGCCTACATTCGATACAGTACATCAAGGAATTTTACTTTGCCTATCCGATCGTCGCCATGCACAACACAACCCTGAACAGGGCATTTTCGAAGTAAACCCCACCCACTTCCCTCGAGACGCGACCGGATTCGACTCCTTTGGAGACTCGCAATCGGAACGTCACCGTTCCATTTTTTGCTTATCTTGCCTTCTTCCATGATGTTAGCTGAGGCTACCGACGATTCAGGAGGGGAAAGCAACGAAGACGAAGTTCTCCTAGTCGGCCCGGTCTAATAGCAGAGAAGCTGGAAGGCACTAGTAAATCGCGACGCAAATGGTGCATCAACTGAGGGTCTAACCCATACTCGGATTGGGTGGGAAAGTTGGCTGCCTCTTTCGTCGTGATGACTTGGAATTATCCATTCCTATGAAGAAACCGCGTACCTCTTCCGGCTTAATAAGAATAATCTACTACCTCGGGAGGAGGAACGACGGAGGCTAAATATAATCAGTCAGAGTCCAGATTAATGAATAGGAATTGTCAGACCAGAGCATTCACGCATTTACGCTTGCAATATCATCGGTACGTGTCAACAAAATAAGCCGACACTGAAAACGATTCTTAAAACTTTTCTTGGAACAGCGTCGCTCGGCCAGAATACTGGACGACAAATGAGGACGATATCGGTGGGGCTTGGTTCATACTCCCAGACCATGTGCTTGGGGCAATGACATGGAATACTGCGCCTGGTCGATATACTCTGACGGTTTATGGAAGACGAGGTTCTAGTTGTCACAACAAAATCCCCGAAAGATGTCATATATCGAATCGGTTGATAGTTACTTGGCCAGTGGTTGTCTACTTGCTCGCCTCAAACACGCAGCAGCATTGCAATTGCCAAATAGCGCCCTCGCTTGCCGGGAGAAATTTCAAAAACAGCAACTGAAGATGGGCGAATTGCTGAGTATTAAGCAGGCATCTCTGTTGGCCGGATCTTGCGCGTTGGAGCGGCAGGGCACGTTTGCGATCCCTTGCAGCCATCTTTGCTCATTCTATGGACAATTCTCGTGGTCCGTAGCGCTTAGGTACTAATGGTTGTCATGGTCAAAGGGATCTCTGCTGGCGTCGCTGGCTCCCACAAGTATTTATCCGGTATACATCACAATAAAACGAGCCGGCATAGTCTGGAAGTCTGCCACTAAATGTGTCAGCTAAAGTACGAGAAACTGACTTACTCGATCTCCAGCGATCATTTGGAAGCGCTGGCTTCCGACCCGTTCCTTAAGCTTTGCAGAAATTCTAGATCAGGATAGGAAAAGCTAAAATAAGTGAGCAGGGTGAGTTAGTGATACCACTTTGACGTTCCGATCAGCAAGGCCAAGACTGGCTGTTTCCGAGTAACCTAACCGGGACAAGGGTGACGTGGGCTAGCCGACGCCAGGTGGACTTCAATTGTATGACGCTTGTTCTTCGACTGACCAGCTTTGGGCATGTTTTCGCAACATCGACAGCGGCATCCGCCAGAAACGGGTTAAGTCAAAACCATTTTTCGGGCCTTCTGCACTGTGGCCGTGGCGGGACTACTGAAACTTAAATAAGCGACGAAAAGTGTAAGTGGAGGATCTTTCTACCCAGCTCCACCACTGCCCCTTCTCTACTTCAGAATTTCCACCCAGCAATTTGGCTCTATCTGCGCATCAACAATTCGTGTCGCACCATTCCAAGCTGGCGTTTAACTGACTACGTACGCGCCTACCTCTCGGAGGGAGGGAAAACCCAATTCCCACATCGCTACGCGGTCGTAAGTTATGATGGCCGAGTTTTCTGCCCTGCCTCCACCAGAAAGCAGTGGCCATCAATTAATGCCATAGCGTATCCAGATGTTAGACTACACTCGGCTACCTTGTTCGGCACGATTGAACCGACCTTCCGTGCAAAGAAGACCAGGAACGTGGAACCAGGTGGCGTTACTGGCTCGCAGGCCCGCTACGACACTCAGTAGTGAGCCATGTGATAAAGATATATACAAGCTTCGTTACATCCTTCTTCGGGCCATTCTCTCTCTCTCTTTCTCTCTATCACCGACTGATTCCCACCACCAACATTGGATCATGACCCCCCAGGAGCAACGTATGGACACTTTGCAACAGGATCTTTGCCGCGTGATTCTAGACCTGCTCGCGGGAATCCTGGGGGATCATTCATTCGGGACCCTAGTGAAACCGGTGCTTCGATTTGAAACTCTCATCCAGGACGGCAAGCAGGGAATGCAGCGTCAAACATCCTGCACACCCATGATTTCGGTATGTTGCATATCCATTCCAATCAACGAGGGCTGGAGCCCCTGTTTTCGCGGGTTGTTTGGCAACCGTTCAGCCTTCATTTGCTGCCTGTGCGATTAACCTACAACGGCAATAATCACCACGATGCGGAATGGGCATTTCAGACAGAAGGAGTGGTGGATAAGTCAGCTTCGAATGTCACTGCTCGGTCTACTTCACGGCTCCTCCGTAAATGTGCCACATGAGTGGGGAGGGGTAACTGACAAAGTACGAGAGGGACTCATGCTAACCATCACCACTGATATACAGAAAATCTTAGACTTATCTAGCATAATTTCACAAAGCGAAAATAACAGGCTGAGTGTGGATAATGCGAGGAAAGGAAACACCATCGGGCAGCCAACACTATCCACCTTTGGCACCCAATCGGTAATGGACGGCGTTGGCTGGCCTTCTATCCGAGCGCAAAGGACACCACATCAAGGACTGCCGCAATTATCAACTGGGACTGGAGCCAATGCCTCATTTCGGAGATGGGGGGTCTCGGCGCTGCGATCAGATAGGAAAACTGCGGATGTGGAAGAAGAGCACCCGGAAAGTCAGCGGCATACGCAGTTTACCAACGGTTTCCCTCATCCCGTAAACGTCCAGTCAAACGTCGTCTTCATCCCGCAGCAGTCCTCCATTGACAGATTTGTCGTCAACATCTGGGAGCGGATTCACGGCTGCATGAGCTTCGATTCCCAAAATTTACTTGAACAGTGGCAGCTCGTGGCAACGGCGGCAAAGGCGGGAACGGGAAGCAGTAATGATGCTGTCAAGATTTACTTTCCTGAGCAGCTGGGTTTCGACAAGCTCCAGGCGTCGTCAGCAGAGGGCACGCTGTCTGATATCGAGATCGAAGGGATTTTCAATCGCGGCAACATTTTTTGCCGGAAAATCAC